TTGATCAAAACATCTTATATGCATGTATGAAATTCTCAATAAATTACTTTTAAAAGAACTGGAATGTATCTTATCTGTAGGAGCAGAGATTAAATGGCAGTCATAGCTAGTCCTTTGTATCTGTAATAAGAGTCATAAAAATTTGCTACCTGCGAAATTTTGAGAATGAGCAGTAACACAAATTAAAAATAGGAAAACCCTCAACACCTATATTCTAGAAAATTAATATTCTTTTTATGTGATTACACTATATTTAATAGAAAGCTGGGCTGGGCGTTTATGATGCATGCCTGTAATTTTAGGGCTTGGGAGGCAGAGGCAAGATTACAATGGCAAGTTTGAAGCTAGCCTGGTCTATATGGTGAGACACTGTCTATAAAAAAATCTTTATGATGACCAATATTAACAATGTTAGCTATAATTTTGATTAGCCTGTTTGGAAATCTAAAATTCTAATGGATTCAACTTAAACTATTTTTTCTCAGTTCACATATGTGAGATGATCTTGCAGAATTAGGAATTTGGCTTGTAAATGGCAGATTTTTGTTATGTAAAATGAACAGCAGACCCTAATCTTAGCTGAAGAAATATTGGCAACTGATTACTGCTAGGTGAGGAAGAATTGGTCTTCCTAAAACAAGGGACTCTAGATAGGCTGACTAGACCTCAGTGGATGGACTATACTGGGGAATGTCTGGGGACACGGACTTGACACAGTGGACCTTAACATGGATGACAGAGTATATGGGTTCAGTGGGGGGGGGGATGTGGAAGGGCACCAGTGGGGGTGGGGGTATAAAGATGATTGATATTGTTTGAGATATTCTGTATAAAATACACAAAAATTAAGTTAAAAAGTTTTAAATTATTTTGATGAGTATTTTAAAGTAATTTTAACTTTGTGTGTCTCCATTTATTGTATGAATAAAATGTTGGCACCGTACAGGTATGTGTTGACGATAACATGGGTGAGTACATGCCTTGAAGAACTCACAGTATGTACTTAGCAAATTTTAGCCTTTATCACCATTAATGAGAAACTAAACAGAAAGGCAGAACGGCATGGCTGGTGATATCCAAACAGATGTGGTTTGAGTACCAGTGTCACCAGGCAAGTTGCTAAACTGTTTTTAACTCAGGCTTCCCATGTTAAAATGGGGATACAATACCATCAAATTAGACTGTATTGAAATCATAAAATTCATTTAAAATTATTTTTTAGAGTAAAAAAAATAGTAAAAATATCACCTTTTATATCAAAAATGAAGATACAAAGCAGGAGACTAGATTTGTGAGAGCCAAAAGAAAACAAATAAGCAATACTCCATACAGAGCCAGGCAAACTCTACATACTTGGATGCTGTGGGAGTGGCAACAGATGAATAGCTATGGCATTTCTGATCTTACTTCCTCTACATCATAAAGAGCCATAGAGAGAATAATTGAGAACACATTACACTTTAGCAGGGCATTGCGTGCTTTCTTGTGCTATCTCAAGGATACTAGCGTCCAGTGACTATGGTTATAACTATTCTTGCTTTGGAAAATATGCAAAAAAATTTGGTAGACTAGATGTTCTTATTGTGCTTAGGTATTCAGAAAAAGAGCTTGGCAGAAAGGTGAGGCCTTTGCTGTTGCTTCGCTTTGTCTTTTTTTTTTTTTTTAATATAAACCAATTTACATATTGTCAATTTCTTAGTCATATTAGGTTTAACAAGGCACTTCTTAACATTTTGGCTGAATAATGTCTATTATTCCTAGTAGGAATACTTATCATTATTTTAATTAACAAGTTGAAATTCTTTGTAACACTAAAATAAACTATTTTAAGAAATGGTGTGTAAAATCCAAATGGGTGATAGGCATAAAAATTAGGGGTCTTTCTCCAAAATATTCACTGACACAGATGCTTATCTTTAGGACCAAAGATAAATGAATAAACATAACAGAAAAGAGAGGGAATGGTAATGACTTAATTAATAGAATACATCTTGTTTAAAAGGTTAAATTTGGAACAATCATCTTTTATGCACATGCTTAGTGCTGGGAAGCAATTTAAATAACAGTAGCAAATGAGAAGATGAGGTAAAATTACACACACCACCAATTTTTTTTTAATGGCAAGTATTATAATTAATACCCAGCTTCCTTTATAACCCACATCACCTTAGAGCTACTG